CAATGATGGATATATATTAAAGCCTAATGATCATTCTTCGTCGTTTCTCTGTGCGTGTTCTGTGTGCTTCAGTTGCATCTACTGCAACTGATGTATAACCGTCATTGACGAGATCAATAACATCTTGAGCGCCAAACAACACACGCATCTGAATCACCCATTGATTTCAATTCTTTCCATCAAAGACTAGAAGTTTTGTGTTCAAGCTACCGTTTTCGCCACTCATCTTCGATCTTGTGCAAATTCACTCAAATCTCTGAAACACTCGTATTTCCCAATCTCTCAAAATCAAGAAATGTGATTTTGTTATGATTTCGAACTTCAATTCACTGTGAATTTCATAACCGAAAACAATCATACACATCTCACGTTCACTTGAGTTTCCCTTGTTTTTTCTCGTGGATCTAAAATATAGCTCTAGGTACCAATTGTTGGTGCACAAAGTTGAAGATGAAGAAGATAATGAAAGAGAAAGAGAGAGAAAAACTCTAACTTTTTGAGTGCAAAACAGAAAATTGATTACACTCGCTTGTATTCTGTTACAAATGAATTAGATAGAATTTATATACTTAACATAGTCTCTTAAATGAAACTCAAATACAAAACCAAATTAAATATAAATTAAATAAATCTAAATTACAATCTAACATTTACTAGCTCAACCATTGAAATTGACCTAATTCACATACACTATCACAAAATATGAGACTTTCTTAATACATTCTCTATGTATTTAAATTTGTCAAAATATATTACCCATTTTTTTAATGTGTTTTATGTTAAAATGGAATGATCATTTTAATTAATCTCTCGCATTATAGTGAGTTAATTGAAAAACTCCAAAATACTTAACTATAATTTTTTTTGGATGCTCATAAAAATACTCATACTTAACCATAAAATTATCTCTAAATCACTATATAATTACTTAATATTTGGACATACATATTAGTAAATAAACCTATGTATTTAAGTTACAAAATTATCACATTATAAAAAGTATATTTTGTATTTAGTAAATAATTCATTATATTCCAAAAATTCCCAAAGCTATAACGTTAAAATGAACAACTACATGCAACAAAAGTTTGAACTTATGGACGTCCTCCAATATAGAGTAACCAACCAAAACCTTTAATTCATTAACGTTCAATTTTACTTTCCTAACATCTTAACTCCAAAAATAAATAAATCTCTTTGCACTTATAAACCTCTCATTTCTCTTCTATTTCAAAATAAACCTCAAAATATAATTTACCATAAATTCTCATCTCCTACAAAACCTGCTTATTTCTTCTTCTTTCTTGTTTGTATCTTTCTTTTCCAACATTCACAATGAAACTTCTCATTTTTATCTTGTTTTGTATACCATGTTATGCTCTTGAATTTGAAGATAAAACCGTCATTGATTCTCCTATGTTAACCAAAAGGATAGGAACTAATCATACGATCAAAGTCGATATCAATGGAAACGGAGACTTTAAATCAGTGCAAGCTGCAATTGATTCAGTTCCAGAAGGAAATTCTAGATGGGTCATCATTCATATTAGAAAAGGAGTATATAGGTATATAAATTTAATTTTTTTTATTAATATTATAATTATATTTTGTCATTAACTTATTAAATCACTTTTTCTTTATGATGTGAAGAGAAAAAGTACATATTCCAGAGACTAAACGTTATATATTCTTGAGAGGAAATGGAAGAGGAAGAACTTCCATTGTTTGGTCTCAAAGTTCTGATGACAATGTTGAGTCTGCCACCTTCAAAGCTGAAGCCCCTGATTTCATTGCCTTTGGAATTAGTTTCAAGGTATAAATTGATACTTTATATTAATATTGTATTTTTTATGCAATAAAAGGTTGAGATGGAAAAAAAAAAATTCACGTAGACCTTTTTTATAAGCATGCATGCAAAAATATGATTAATTTAATTGAATATATATTTAATTTAATTTAGTTAAAAAATATGGTTAATTCATTTAGTTGAATTAATTTTTTCGGTCAATTGAGATGACCGTTTGTTCAACTGAATTAACTATATTTTTTACTTGATTATCCCGATGTTATTAACTAAACTAACAATCTGTTCAACTGAATAACCACGTGATTAATCCGATGTTTTCAATGTTCTTGCGTTATAGAATGAAGCACCAACAGGAGTTGCCTATACTTCACAAAATCAATCAGTGGCAGCATTTGTAGCGGCAGACAAAATAGCATTTTACCACTGTGCATTTTATAGTACACATAACACACTCTTTGATTACAAAGGTAGACATTATTATGAGTCATGTTACATTCAAGGTTCCATTGATTTCATATTTGGTCGCGGCAGAACAATCTTCCAAGTGAGTCCTTTTTTCATGTCTCTTTTCATCAATTCTTATAGTTAAATAATTATTTATTAATATTAATCATAAATATTTTTCGACTCAGAGTTGCGAGATTTTCGTGGTCGATGATAAAAGGATAACAATTCACGGATCAATAACAGCGGCGAACAAAGAAACTGAAATTGAAATGAGTGGATTTATATTTATTAGAGGCAAAGTTTATGGCGTTGGTGGAGTATACTTAGGAAGGGCTAAAGGTCCTTATTCTAGGGTTATTTTTTCTCATACATATCTCTCAAATACTATTGTTCCTGAAGGATGGACCAATTGGAGTTATGATGGTAGCACAAAGTAAGTAAATTAACGCTCAAATTTATTTACTATTTTTATAAAAAAATAATAAAATTTAATTTTGTTTATTTGTTTTTGAATTATATAGAAATCTTTACCATGCTGAGCATAAATGCCATGGGCCTGGTGCTACAGCAGAGGGAAGAGCTCCTTGGTCAAGGCAGCTTACTGATGAAGAAGCTGCTAAATTTATATCTATTAATTATATTGATGGCAAGAATTGGTTGCCAGCGTATCGATAATCATATCATATCATGTGTTTGGTGCAAAAATGTGAAATTTGATATATCATATAATGTATCTGGTGCACGAATGTGGAATTTGATAGAAGAGTAGATGTTATTATATAAACATGCTTTGTTATAGCATTGTTTTCATTTTATGATATCTTTGTGCTTTAGAATTTTCTATAGCTAGTTTTTAGATATATAGTACAAGTTGGTAAGGAAAGGAAGGAAGGGTTGTGATTGTATCTTCTTTCATTTCTTTGTAATTAGTATTGCACAATGTTGATTTGCATATCAAATGAGAAAAATGCCACTTTGGTGTTTGTTGGTTATTATTATTCATGTGAATTACTTTTGTCATTTATATTCTTTATGTACATTTTGGATCATCTCCTCCCTTTTTTTCTTTTGTTCCTCTCCTAACTTTTTAACTTTCTCTTAACTCTAGTATCTCTCTTCACTATAAAAACACTTTGCTTTGAAGAGTGAGTAAGATTAAGAAAGAGATAGAAAATTAGAAGAAGAATGAAGAGAAAAATGGAGGAGAGGATTTAATGTTTGTGTAAGTTTTAATAAAGGTAAGTGATCTGACCTGATCAGGAGGGGATCACGGGATGGCCACGCTCCGTTAGGCTGCTTCCTGTTCACCGGTGTTGAGGATGAGGAGGGGGTGTACCTGCAAGGCACTCCGATGCCAAAGTCAGAATTTGGGCAGAGTGAGAGCAAGAACAGAAAGTTAGAAGAGGTGAATTCCCTGGCCCTCTTGGGGAAGAGGGTATTTATAGAGAGACCCCAGCGCTGGGCCAACGGTCATTTGAGTTGGGCTGGATGGTCAGACCCAATTCAAATGACTGCTAGGGCTTACGTGGCGTAGTGAAGACCAGGACGTGGTCTTCGCCCTAGTCCAACTGCTCCTAGATCTCCGGAAAGTGGGTTTGACCTGCTCTTTCGGAGGTGGGCAGTTGGTTGATGACGTGTCCCCGCGGAGGGGAGCATGTGGAGAACGTGTGGAAGGCAAGTTGTGCTGCCCGGCGGGAGGAGGTTCTGCCCTGACGGGATGGGCACAGGTTCTGCCCGACAGGATGGGCACAGGTTCTGCCCGTCAGGATGGGCACCTGCCTGACGGGAGGAGGTTCTGCCCTGACGGGATGGGCACAGGTTCTGCCCGACAGGATGGGCACAGGTTCTGCCCGTCAGGATGGGCACAGGTTCTGCCCACGGGATGGGCACAGGTTCTGCCCGTCAGGATGGGCACAGGTTCTGCCCACGGGATGGGCACCTGCCTGACGGGAGGAGGTTCTGCCCTGACGGGATGGGCACAGGTTCTGCCCGACAGGATGGGCACAGGTTCTGCTCGTCAGGATGGGCACCTGCCTGACGGGAGGAGGTTCTGCCCTGACGGGATGGGCACAGGTTCTGCCCGACAGGATGGGCACAGGTTCTGCCCACGGGATGGGCACCTGCCTGACGGGAGGAGGTTCTGCCCTGACGGGATGGGCACAGGTTCTGCCCGACAGGATGGGCACAGGTTCTGCTCGTCAGGATGGGCACCTGCCTGACGGGAGGAGGTTCTGTCCTGACGGGATGGGCACAGGTTCTGCTCGTCAGGATGGGCACCTGCCTGACGGGAGGAGGTTCTGCCCTGACGGGATGGGCACAGGTTCTGCCCGACAGGATGGGCACAGGTTCTGCCCCCGGGATGGGCACCTGCCTGACGGGAGGAGGTTCTGCCCATGGGTCCCTGCTCATCAGTGTGGTCCAATTGGGCCCAACCTCAGTGAGATTTTGGGTCTTCTCGATTGTGGGCTAAGCCTCGGCCCAGTCCAGAACAGTAAGGTAAAATTTAGAGTACCAAATATTTCTATAAAGATAAGAGAAAAGATATATGATAATATTATTCGAAAACAGGATAATATCTTAATAAAACTAAAAAGACTTAATTATTAATTTGTTGATATGAATTAGGTTGTTTAAATGTATCCACATACAAGCATTATGAAATCTAAAACTTTATTTAATATTATAGAATTATTTTAAGTCCATATTCAGATGTTACATACAGAAACATATAATTTTTTCTTTTAAATTAGAATCCACCATCTTTGCTGCCGCCACCTTCTTTTACAAGACTTCCACCAATACCGACTCCTATACCACCACCAGCTCCACTTCCATAGCCTCCACCAAAGCCACCTCCCACACCTATACCACCACCAGCTCCACTTCCATAGCCTCCACCAAAGCCACCTCCAACTCCTACACCTCCACCGTTTTCACCAGCACCACCGACTCCTCCTCCATAGCTTCCACCAAATCCACCTCCGACTCCACCACCAGCACCACCTCCAACTCCTACACTTCCACCGTTTCCACCACCACTAACAACTCCTCCTCCATAGCCTCCACCAAATCCACCTCCGACTCCACCACCAGCACCACCTCCAACTCCTACACTTCCACCGTTTCCACCACCACCAAATCCACCTCCGACTCCACCACCAGTACCACCTCCAACTCCTACGCCACCATTGTTTCCTCCACCACCACCGACTCCTCCTCCATGACCTCCACCAGCACCACCTCCGACTCCACCACCAGCACCACCTCCAACTCCTACACTTCCACCGTTTCCACCACCACCAACAACTCCTCTTCCATAGCCTCCACCAAATCCACCTCCGACTCCACCACCAGCACCACTTCCAACTCCTACACCACCACTGTTTCCTCCGCCATCACTGACTCCTCCTCCATGACCTCCACCAAATCCACCTCCGACTCCACCACCAGCACCACCTCCAACTCCTACACCTCCACTGTGTCCATTGCCACCACCAACACTTCCTCCATGGCCTCCACCAAGTCCACCTCGGGCACCGCCACCAGCACCAACTTCTCCTCTTACACCTCTACCATCACCAGATCCTCTTTCAATGTCACTTCCATGGCCTCCAGCAGCACCACTTCCAACTTCTCCTCCTATACCTTTGCCACTACCACCACCTCCTCCTCCAATGCCACCTTCATGGCCTCCGCCAAATCCACCACTAGCACCACCTCTAACACCTCCTCCGTTTCCTTCACCACCACTGACTTTTCCTCCAACACCTCCTCCATGGCCTCCACCAACACCTCCACCATTTTTGCCACCACCACCGGCTCCTCCTTCAACGCCTCTTCCATGACCTCCACCAAATCCACCTTCAACCCCACCGCTAGAACCATCCTCGACTCCTCCTACACCACCACTTACTCCTCCTCCAATGCCACCTCCATGTCCTCCACCAAAGCCATCTCTGGCTCCACCACTAGCACCACCTCCAACTCCTCTTATACCACCATCTTTGCCGCCTCCAAAGCCTCCACCTGATCCGCCACCTCCTCCTAAACCTCCACCTCCTCCATGGCCTCCACCAACACCACCTCCAATTCCTCCACCATTACCACTACCCACACCACCTCCAAATCCGCCAGCTTTTTCACCACCGCCTCCTACATCACCATTATCTCCAAATCCACCACCTTCACCTCCTCCTATACCACCACCATGTCCACCTCCTTTTCCAAACCCTCCTCCACCACCAATACTTTCTAGAAACTCTTCTTCTTTGACTTTGCGACACTCTGATATTCCTATCACCAGCATTAACATCACTAAAACTATTCCAACTTGTTTATTTAACTTTGCCATCTTACGATACCGATTAAAGAAAAAATATGGTAGGGATATATGCTTGCTTACTTGTACTTTGGAAAGCTAACAAGGAGTGGCCATATTTATAGTGGAAAATCATAGTACGTGTAGTTAAGATCTCTAATCCACTGTGATGTTGATGCTTTCTGATAGCCTTGAAATCCAACATTGAGCCTCAAATTCAAACTTATGTGGAAAATTGAGAAAGAAATTTGTGAGTTACATTCAATGCATGACACCTAACTGTCTAGATATATAAGAAACAATTTCTATATCGGCCGCCAAGTTAATAACTTGATTATTGATGCTAAGCTTTCAAACCTATAACTTTTGATACTAAAGACTTTAAATCTTGCGAACTGTAATGCCATATATGGAATGAAGATGGTGGGAACAAGCTTCTAAATATTTAATCTATGACAAGTGCCATATTATGCATCTAATGTAATTGTTTTATATTAAACACTTGCATCAAAAAGTTGCTGCCAACAATTTTCTTCGTATACTAAAAATGGTATTAAAAAGTAGGTGCAAATGTAACTATCTCTAACGTTGAACTATTACCATCGCATTGAATATTTTTATTTTTACCAACTATATAAAGCAAATTTAAATGTATAAATAAAATTAAGAAATATTTTGTTAAATTAGTGACGTAAAAACACATAAACCAATTGTTAAATTCTCCATTAATTAGTCGAAAGATAATAACATGTTATATTTTAAAGAGTTAAATAATTAATATGAATTATTTTAAATTACAAGACTAAATTAAACTTTAATATTAACCAAAAAAATATTAAACATAGAGTTTATTTAATTTTTTAGACACTCTATCCAAACACGGCTAAAATTTAAAACAAGCAATATTTAGGCATATGGAGAGTATATATATATATATATATATATATATATATATATATATATATATATATATATATATATATATATATATATATATATATATATATATATATATATATATATATATATATATATATATATATATATATATATATATATATATATATATATATATATATATATATATATATATATATATATATATATATATATATATATATATATATATATATATATATATATATATATATATATATATATATATATATATATATATATATATATATAAAGCCAGTTTTTTAAGAAAAAGAAATGGCCATATTTTTTTAATTTGATATGACCGTTTAATTCAATCCTATTAACTATTGAGATTTGATGTAAAACTTTTAAACGTATATCATATATCAACGGATCCCGACTCTTGACTATATATATAAATTCTTTCATTTTTATACTAAAAGAAATATAGGTATTTGTGACAAATTTTGCAAGGTGAATTTTACTTCGCATAAAAAAAAATACTTGCGGCGTAAATTTCACGTTGCAACATATTCAATAAATAAATAAATAAAAATCAATTTTGCCTCGAAAGTATTTGAGGGGAGATTTGAATTTTTTAAAAGTAATGTTGGGGAGTGTTACACACCTAGCAAATTTTTTTAAAAAATTAAAACTTTTTTATTGGAAAATGCAATAACTTTAAATTTTGATTTGCAGAGCATCAATGAACGTTTAGTCACCTTTTGTGGTGCGAGGTAAAAATAACCTAGCAACACACACGCTGACCGAATGTTTGATACACCGTTGCAAGGAGAAAATCACCCAACAAATTCTTTATTTAATTCAAACTGCTTTATCTTTCTCCCTCTATTTCTCTCCATTTCAACTCCAAATTTCACTTAATATTATTTAAAAATCATTTAGAAGCCATACACTACTATAAAAACTCACTTTACCTCGGACGCGAAGGGAATTTTATCTCAGTTACACAAGCAATGTAACGAAGGGCGACATGAAAATTTGCCACCTTACCCCTCAATTTTGGAATTAACGAAGGAATAGTTAAAATGGTCATTAGTTCGATCCCCAACAACAACATTTTTTTATTTACAAAACTATGTAGTGCACTCCACATACCTCTCAGTTTTTGTTAATAATCGAGGGGAAAATGATAGTATTTATGTCGGTTTGATATAATAATCGAGGGGTATACTTGATAAGTGGTTTTTGCATCGCTTTTATTAGTTGTTTTACTCTATTATTTTCCTGTTTTCATTCAATTTACCGTCTTTTATCATGTTTTATGATTTGATAGTGTGTTTTGATGTTTTCAAGTTTTAATAAGTCTCTCAGATAAAAGAGGAACCAAATGAGCAAAATGCGGGAAAAAGGCAAAGAGTCGAAATTCTCCCATACATTTTCCAGAGACCTGCTACGGGCGACCGTAGATGCTGCTACGGGTCTTAGCAGACAAAGTTCCATTGTCCTTCAAAAGCCTTTCCCAATACTAAAACCAGGGGCCTGCTACGGGCGGACCTAGCAGCTATTGCGGGCCGTAGTAGGTGGGGAAGTTTTCTCTCTGTTTTCTTTCTTTTTCCGACATTTTCTATTGTTTTTTTGGGATTTGTGCATTTCTTGATTTAGAATATTTTCATCTTAATGGACACTGATTAGATTATTTAGTTCCACAATAAGGATTCTTGTTATAAAAACTCAATGCCTATAATAGTTTAGGATCCATCTTTTTATCGAGATTTTATTCCAGCTTTTCTTCTATTTTATTTCACGTACTTTATTTTCCCAATTATATTGTTTGATGTACTCAAGTGTCCATTGGAGCACCTTGATCCTTTATCAATTCAATCTAATTTCTTGTCAGTAAAGTTACTTTTATCTTTATTTACCATTATCAATGTATGCCTTTACATTTAATCATGTTTCCGATTATGAAAATCACTATGTTTGTGTTGTTCCTCACCATGAGTGAGTAGTCCTATAGGGACTAAGGGTCACGAGACCTAACTCATGACTGTTCGTTTGATCCATCACTAATCAATTAAGAGAAATTTATTTACGAGTTATTTTAAAATCTAAGTTTTTCATTCCAACTCTTGTACGAAAGTAAAGAGTTTTAACGTACCGATCATAACCTGAAAGGATATGCATCGGTATCTGAGAGCGGGTTTTTTAAACATTTAAGTCTGACATAACGAAAGTTCTTAGACGCAATTGAGAAATGCTACATCTTTTATAGTTGTGCAAAAAAAAGAGTCTCCGACAAATAATTCAGTCGTGCGAAAGCAGACTAATTATTCGCCTCAAATATGACAACACACTAACGAAAGTAGATGTTATCCATATTTATCTATTTTCTATAACCATGTTGAAATTCTTGTAATATAAGTGAAAGGGTCATATGAATGTGTCAGAGTAGGGATCATGAACCCTAAATCTTGTTTGTCTCATAATATTTTAAGTAATTTTCATTTAAGCTATTTTTCCTAAAAAGTGGTTTTTATTTAAGTTATTTCACAAAACACCAAATTTGGGCCATACACTAAGAGAGGGTTGATCCATTAGTTGACACTAAGCATCTTAAGGATTATGAGATTTTTACTTAAGAGAAACCACACTGTAGTATTGTTCACCCCGTCGATTGCGGCGAATAATTTTGAACCCAAACCATATTTGATAGGTATCATCCAACACGACCAATTTTCAAGGTTGCCTTCAGAAAAACCGAACTTACATCTTTCTATCTTTGTTGATAATTATGGATAGTAAAGGCTAATTGTGTTAACCATGACATCAACCGCCTCAGGTTATTCCCTTTCTCGTTAAGAGATCGTGTATGGGCTGGCTCTAATCCTCTACCGCCAAATTGATAACCTCTTGGGGTCAATTGAAAGATACCTTCCTTGTGTGGTATTATCCGCCAAGAAAAATAACCCAAGTAAGAAAAGAAATTAATAACTTTAGACAGAAGAGTGGGAATCTTTGCATGGGAATGTTATAAGGAATTGTTAAGATTGTGCCCATTTCACGGGCTTGAAAAATGGATAATTATTCATACCTTTTATAATGTTCTACTTTATTCCATAGGGATGACCTTAGATGTGGCTTCTGGTGGAGCCCTTATGAGGGTGACCCTGATTATTCTAACCATGATGCAGCTAAATCATTGGAGAAAGACATTGTCCCACTACCTACTCATCCTACCCAACATGAAGTCGGGGCTTCAAATGAAAACCAGGATAGGGGTGGGTGTAATATGAAATCCAAGACATGAAGGAGGAGCAAATAAGACAAGGAGTGGTATTGTATGATGTGTAGATGATGTTGCAACAACTTATGTTGCGCTTCCACCCTCCCGAGTTTATTTAATTCAGTACCTATCAAACCTTGTATAGCAAGTTAAACTTAACTTATTTCACTAATATGTCTTAATCTCAAATGCCACGACTTAGATTTGTCAAGAAGGTATTAACTAGTTGTTGATACATGACCAGTGACATTGGAACTACCCAAACAATACAATCCATAAATTTTGGACCTTTGGTCATTATCAATGCACCAACAAATTTTCAACAAATCACGTTGAATTTTAAAGTATATGCCTAAATCATCAAAAATTCTTATGACTTTTCAACAACAAATTTTTTGTAAGATTGAAACATACCTCATATTGCGTATAAGGTATTCATGGTCATTAAAACATTTTCACTCTCACAGTACCAACACCACGAACTTTGCAACCCTTACTGTTTTCAATTCGAATGACTTTGCATTCTTTCATCTCTAAAGTTTCAATCTATTCTTTTCTTGGACAATTATGAAAATAGAAACTAAAGTATATACCCCAACTAGTGTGTCAACACTTTCATAACCATCTTCATCTGATGCAACCACAATCTGAACAGAATCATCATTGCTCCCTCTTTCACGACAATCCTTTTTATGTCTGCTTTTATGATAAGTGAAACATTTAAACTTTAACTTATAAAAAAATATGGACTTGGACTTTGAATTAGATCTTCTTCTTTTTGTGTTTCATTTACTTTTACTCATTCTTGAGATACTTAATCATTTGCCATTATCATCAACCTTCAAATCCTTCAACTTTGATAATTCCTTGGATTTTGCGGTCGTCGGGACTTCATTCAAAGTGATAATATGTTCTTTATCGTAAAGAATGGCTTTTTTTAAGTGTTCAAAGGATATTGGTAATGAGCTTAACAAGAGTATATCATTGTCCCCATCATAGTTTTTCACCTTAATATTTTGCAAACCATCAATGATCTTGTGAAATTATGTCAACTACTTCACGATAGATTTATTCACCATACAAAAAGAATAAAATTGTGGTTTCAAACACAATTTGTGAGCCAATGAATTAATCATATATAATGATTCAAGTTTAACCCACATCTCAGACACGGTATTTTCTCATGCAACTTTCATTAATACTTTATCTCTAAGGCACAAGATAATGGCATGTTTGATCTTATCCACCAACTCAGTCATCTTAGCTTGTGTAAGGCTTACATACCTCAAAGCAACTTCTTTCAATGCTTCTACACACCTTTGTTGAAATAGTATTGTTTGCTTCTTCACATTCAATAATTTAAAGTCTTCATCTTTAGAAAACTTTCCAACATTTCATTTGGAACTCATGTTGTTTACTTGTAAATTTAACCCTTTTGTACCACAATGGGCGTCACTTGCTATGAAAATTTTGATAATAATTCAAAATTTCAACAAGCAAGGACTTTGATGTGTGAGCCAATAACAATAACAATCAACTCAAATGTTAGTGCATTAAAAATACATCATGTGAGAACACGGAAATTTGTTTATTCAGTTTGATCAAATTGATCTGCGTTTGAGGGATAGGGTAACTCTTTGATTCATTATACTTCCAAAAGTTGTTATAATAGATTATAATATGAACTACAAGAAAATAGTTTTTGTAGTTTGCATCTCAATATAACAATCACACAAACTCAAAAAGGTTTAAATGTTTCTTGAATTTCTTTGATAATCCCAATAAACTTTCAAACCCCAAAAATATAATCTTGTAAATCTCTACCATTTTTTCTCACTAGGATTGCTACCTCATAAATCACGTGTAAACAACAAGAGAGAACCATATTTATAAATTTAAACTCCTTAACGCACTCATGATATGACCTATTAACAAAACCTGAAAAGCCTAAGACATGTTTAAACTGCCTCCGATAACTAGCCTCTAACCTAGAGCTGGCAAAACGGGCTACCCGGCCCGTGACGGGCTGGCCCATGACGGACTCGGGCTTTGTTCGGGTCGGACTAAAAAACCCGAATTATAAACGGGCCACAATTTGATTGACCAAGCCCAGCCCTTCACGGGCTACGGTTTTTCGGGCCGACCCGGTTTATATTTATAATTTTGTTTTTTTTAAATTAAAAAGTGAGTGTTTTATTTAAAAAATAATATAATACTATTAGTATATTGTACACACCATACTCTAGTTTTATCATAGGGTCAAATTACAACAGTATGACATATCACATAGAAAATGCATCAATATGACATTTCTTTTCACTTAGAAAATTATAATAATGTTGTACACCAAAATATAACTTATAACATTTCCCTTTGTGCATTGTTTGTCTTTTTTCATTTAAATAAGGATTCAATACAAAGTAAAATTTTCAATGATAACATTAAATTTTACAAATTAAATTAACAATAAGGTCTAAAATTCATTAAAAAAACTAAGCGGGCTAGCCTGGTTAAACATCAAGCTTTTAACAGTTCGGGCTTAAAAGCCCGGATAATAAATGGGCCTTATTTTTTTTGTTCAAGCCCAGATTTTTTGGCGGGCATTCAGGCTGGCCCAGTTGGTCTGACCCATTTTGCCGGCTCTACTCTAACCTATCATTACTTAGTCACTCGTCAGAAGTTGACTGTATGTTGCACCAACATATATGGTTCTTATAGCACCGTCTTTGGTTGCTAAAAAAATCTACTCCTTCCGTTTCAAAATAATTGCCCTTTAAAATTTTTACTTAAAAAATACAATGATATTGTCATAAAATATCGTACTTTTACTACAAAATAATAATATATGACACAATTGAAAAAATTAACAATTATTACTACATTAAAAAATGATAATGCCATTTATTTTGAAACAATTTTTTTTTCTAAAACAGTCATTTTGAAACAAATGAAATTGTAGAATTGAAATTATATATATTTTTTCTTTTTTCTTTTGTCTCAATTGAGATTTTAAGACATAAGAATCTTTAAGTGTTTATAAAAGTGTGTTTAACCCTGTACTTGATAGGGTGTTTGAGTATGAAAAAAAAATTATATATAATAGGTTGAACTTTGATATATTTAGGCTGCAAGATCTACATTCTATTTTATTTGACAAACCAAATGAAGAGCAACACTGTTTAAGATGATATAATGAAATTCAGGCTATCTCAAGATGACGTGTTATTTTTTATGTTTATGGTGGAACTAAAGACTTTGTTATGGAAATTTTGTCTCATGCAATCATATTACAAGGTAAAGTTTTATTAACCGTTACTTAAAGTGCTACTGTCTATATACTACTACCTGGAAAAAAATTCTTGTATTCTCCTTATTGTCAGTCAATGCACAATCAACATGCAATATTAGTCTAAAAAACAAAATTGAGAGCTACCATTCTAAGAGCAGCAAGTTTGATAATTTGGAAATTGGAATAGCAAGTTTGATAATTAGGGATAAAAATCCAAGGTTTTAAAGAGGTAAATGAGAATAAAAATCTAGAAAATGAGAGGGTAAATGAGAAAATATTTGAAACCCCTTTTGAAGGTAAAGATGTTGATTTTGGGTCAAGATTTAAGACAAATATTACATGTTAAATACCAGTTTAACGAGTTGATAGCACAAGTGCTTATCAAAATAAGCACTTACAAAAAAGATTCATAGCTATTCTTCTAACAAGTAATACATTAAATTTGAATCATTCTCCATTCTCAAAATAATGTAAATTGTTTTCATAAGTTATCAGATGTTATAAAAATAGGCTCAAAAGTTTATAATAATGAAAAAACATCCAAATAGTGCCACAAAAGTTCAACATAAAATAAGCTCAAATAAGTAGATCCAAACAGGTCATTAAAGATAATAACCAATCTTTACTTGAAATTGGCCCTACTATCAATTTAAGTTTATAGATGTAACCAAGAATAACCACCTGATGTTTTGAGTTTTCAACCTTCAAAAAAGAAATCGAACAGAGTACTGCAATTTCTCTAAATTAAAATACGTTCAAAACAATATCAGAGTCTAGATTTGACATAACATTTAGTGTTCAAAATGAAAATACAATAAAGTCCATTATAGATTAAAACTTTACTCAGCATCAGAAGCGATTTCACCATTTTTCTTGTTGTGCTTCCTAGCGTACCTCTGGTTCCTCAAAAACTTGGGATCCATCTACAGTTATCAAACAAAAATAAAAAAAATAATCAAAATCATATTTACGAAAACAAGAAATTCCTTAAGAATTGAAAGGAGAATGAATACATACCCCTTTGGTTGAAGTGTGGCGATGCCTCTTTGGCTTTTTGATGCCGTTTTTGTGAGCTTTGTAGGATTGATTGTGAGCGGTGTGATTCTTCGACTTCGCCATTTCTGAAATTCAACACAGAGATTAAAAACAACGAGATGTGGAAAGGATTAGATAATTGAAATTTGTAGCAGCAGAACAAGACAAACCCTAATTCGGTAGTTCAGACGATTGATTCGCGCTAGGGTTTTATTAAGAGGAATAAAGGATCGTTATATATGTAACTGTGAAGTAATTGTTTCGGGTTGAGGGTGAAATTGGGCTTTGGCCACATCAGAGCCCAAATTTAGAATAAATTTAAGAAAAACTTATTTCACACCCTCAACATCAACTTTCTACCCATTGCAAAAATATATCACCATTATTACAAAAATGTTCAATAACAAATATTACATTTTGCTTTCAAAAAGGATAATTTGGTAATCAACATATTCATATTGTTAGAGATGCTAAGAGCTTGGTTCTCATCCACGTGTCAGTTACCCATTGGTCCCAAACTTTTTTCCATTTTTCCCTCTCTTCTCACACTATTTAGGCTTCTCTATATTTTTCCTTCTTCTGATATTTCTCTCATTTCTCCACAAATCATATTTCATTTTTCTCCATTTTCTCCACACTTCATACTTCAGAACATCATCATCTCCCTCGTCTGTATTTCTTGCGAGCTAAAAATAAGAAGGTATGAGCTCCTACTTCCATTGCCTCTCCCTGCACATCATAGTTCAATTATTGTTCTATTTTTAGTTTTTTTGGTTTTCTGTTTCACAAACCAAGAGTCTGGTTTTTTTGTTTCACAAACCAGAGTTCAACCATTGTTTTTCTGGGTTTACAATGATTGTGAGTTTGATTATCATGATGTTGTTTTGAATCCGTTTATCTGGGTTTTGAGATGAATGTTGCTTTGTGTTCATCTTTTTTCCGATAAGAAAGCTACAAGCTTTGCTAACAATTTCTGTACATTTGGTTATTGTTATTCATCTCTGAAAACCATGTCTGTTATGAACTTATATTGTAGTTGTTGCTTTTCAGATCACCATGTCTAGAACACCTATTATGATTGCTGATTTGAAGCTAGGAAACAATGTATGGAAGCTCGCCATTCGTATTGTTGATCTATGGACTGTAACCAAGCGTAATGGACAGCAATATTTTGAATGTGTTATCCAAGATAACAAGGTATGCATTATTGTTGTAAATATGTTATCTAACTTTTACATAACTTAAAATATGTACTAACTATTCGTTTGATTCATAGTGTGATAAAATACACGTCGTTACCCGCAATAGAGATTTTGATTTTTGGAAATAGAGGTTGCAAGAACATATGACTTATATGATTTATAATGGTGATCCATTAAACAACGATATGCCTTTGAAAATCTGTGAAAATCCGTTGAAGTTTTTTTTCAATAGTGGGACCACTGTAACCATGGTAGATTTACCAGAAATACCACCCCATCAATTTCATTTCAAACCCATCGTCGATTTTTTACACGGAGATTTCCAAGTCAACCGCTTATATGGTATTTAAAATTTTCTTAAACATCATTTGCATTATTACATGTTTGTGAACTAATAGACTAACCATTTGGCCTTACTATCAAACAGATGTCATTAATGTACTTCACCAAGTAGTCAGGTCTCAAGTTGCAGGAGGTGGAAAGAAGGCTTGTGTCAACATTACCTTATCTGATGAAATGTATATCACATTATAACTTCTTTATTGTTAGTGGTTCTTCATTATAACTTTTATATATATATATATATATATATATATATATATATATATATATATATATATATATATATATATATATATATATATATATATATATATATATATATATATATATATATATATATATATATATATATATATATATATATATATATATATATATATATATATATATATATATATATATATATATATATATATATATATATATATATATATATATATATATATATATATATATATATATATATATATATATATATATATATATATATATATATATATATATATATATATATATATATATATATATATATATATATATATATATATATATATATATATATATATATATATATATATAATATATATATATATATATATATATATATATATATATATATATATATATATATATATATATATATATATATATATATATATATATATATATATATATATCACATTATAACTTTTTTCTCTCTTTATTATTAGTGGTTCTGAAATAGATATTACACTTTGGGAATCATATGCCAACCAATTCATGGCATACTCGACTGAGCATACCGCACATGGCCAGACTATAATAATAATCACTCATGCTATGTGTCAGAAAAGTTCAAGTAATGCTTAAAATTGTTATTTCACTCTTATTCCTTTCATTTGTGATTGACTTCTTATACTACTCTTACTGTTATGCCACTGTTATTGTTTTGCAGCCACCGAAAAATGGTACATCTCAAATGCTTGGAACAGATCCAAATTGCTTCTTGATTTTGTTCATCCACAGGTCACAGCATTCAAATCCAAGTAAGGAACTATTATTCAATGTGATAAATAGTCAAATCCCTTATATGTACTCCAATGTATATAATGTTTCAATTTTATTTAGGTTGGGAGACAAGGCGAGTTCACAAACTCTTTCACAACCACTCTCCCAACCTTCTGCATCACAAGGGACGTTTGTGGACCGATCTTTCTCCTACACCAATGATGTCAAAACCATTGCTGACATCATGATTCTTCAAGATGTAAGCATATTAGTTCCTATGCTCCAGTTTTTATCACGATGCAACATAACCATTTTTATGATGTTTCCTTCATTTTTACTCAATTGCAAGTTTCCAATAATATAACATGCCATGTTTATTTACAGCAAGCTTTTTGTAACACTTTTGGAACCACAAAGAGGTTCAAGTCAAGTAGGTACGGTTGGTACTATGAGCAGTGTCCAACATGTAACAGAACTAATAAATTTCCTGGGCAGCCATTCATATGCACATGTTATGAAAATACACCTCCACCACTCACCAAGTAAGCACATATTTTTTAGTTACTATATAAATTATCTAAGAACCTTATTTAAACATGTTGGTTAATTTAATTATATTTCAACCATTTCCTTAGGTATAAAATCGAAATCGAGGTCGAAAATGATTGCACGACTGATTGTTTTGTGTTTTGGGACAAGGAGTGTATCCAATATGTTGGAATGGTAGCACATGCTTTAAGAGAAATCATGAAAAAGGTGCGTAAGTATTGTGTACTTGTATGTCTGCTTGATATATTCAACGTATACACGTAACCACTGTATGTTGCTCTTATATAAGCTCTGATATATGAAATCATGTGATTGACTGTGAGATATTAAACACCTGTAGGATAATATCAATAATAAATAGTTCACACTCATTTCACATAAAACTGGTGAAAGCTCTGTCTAGACTTTAAAGAGTTGCTACAAGATACATACATGTATCAATCACTTACTGAAAAAACAAGATGAAAACACTCAGTGTTTTACAAGATACCTCTCTGGTGTAAAATGTCTACTGTGTTGGATTCAAACTCTAATGCCTTAGCCAAGTCTTCCATAGCTTGACATAGGAAACTGTGGTCAGTGTCACATTTATGGGTTGCTACTTGTGTAAGAAATCATAATATACAATCATAAGTGACTCAAGTAAGGCCTTACAAGAAGTGCCAAAAAAAACTCAATCATTCATAGTGCATGGTGCAATAACATGAATATATAAATTATAAACCACACAACTCTGGACAACCACATTAGTTTAGTTTAGGCTGAAATAAGAAGAGATTTCTCCATGAATATATAATATCATAGTGCACTGTACCTAAGTTTTCTCCATAAAGAAGAAAACTAATGTGGTCTTAGTTGTGCTCTTAGTTAGCTTCACATTTTCTGTCATGAACTTTTGTACTATGTCCGGAATGTGAAATGTTGTCTGTCAATGTAGTATGATTAAAATTGTCGATACTGGTACAAATCATGTCATGCTGCTATTTCATTTCTTTTGAAAAACAATTATGTAAATCATTAATGTTTACCTTTTATACATTCGTAGTCCAATGAAGATCATCCACAAATCTATCCTGAAAACTTGGACAAACTATTAGAAAAGGAATTTGCTTTTCGCGTGAAGTTTCAGCCGAACTTTAAGCAGGCATCTGTTGTCAAGCTTACTGAGGACAAAGAAGTAATCCAAATGTTCAAATATGCCATTCATCTGAATAAGGTTTATGATGCATTAAGTCATCAAAATTTAATTACATTCTTCATGTCTTACACTAACATACTGACCATAGAATATATTATCATGTAGTTGACTTCTAAAAACACCATGAATGCCCCGACTACAAAAGGAAAAGAAACTGTTCTTAACCATCATATACTCGACAATGAAGCGGTGACTCCTACTTCCCTTCATACAGTAAGTTTGTTTCCAAGTTATATTTGTCTTAATTTATTATTATTGGAAAAATTTTATTGCACTAAGAACTCATAGCTTCCATTTCCAACTTCCAGCCAACCATGCCTGCTTCACAAAATTGGAGCGACGAAGCCTATTCAAGCAATACCCCTTCCAAGAGGTTGTCCCAAGAATATTTTATTGAGGAGCTAGGAACTTCAACTATATTGTCACCCAAACAATCTGCAACCAAGACTGTGAAGCATGCCAAGAAGGAATGAGCCTTTACCTTCAACTCAAGTTATTTTTGTAACACCCCGAATTTAATCGGAATATTTTAATTAATTGATTTAATTGAGAATATTCGATTTTAGTGTTTTTCGGTGGCTTTGTGAATTATTGAGGAATTATGCTTTGTGGAGTATTTATTTTGGAATAATAGTATGTAATATGGATTTATTAATATTATTATGAATTAAAATAAATATAAAAGGAATAAGGGTAATTTGGGCATTTGGAGGAGTTAGTAAGGGTAATGAGGGAAAAGGCCAATTGTGAGGCCCAAGACTAGGCTGGCAAAATTGAGTTCTGAAGGGAAATTAGAATTCATTTTG